CCCCAAAACCCCAAAACCCCAAAACCCCTTTAATCATATAAATATTATTATAACAAGCATGGAAATTAAAGGTGTGACTATCCACCCTGAAGAGAAGCCAGTCAAGGAAAAGAACTTCGATTTTCCATTTGATATGAGAGTATGACATACTAATCCCACAGTTCCCTAATCCTCTGTTTAGCAATTCGCAAGAAAGCACAAATTTGATCCAGATATAGACCTAATTAAATAAAGGAGACGGTTACAGGTATGCAACCAAATCAGAGCAGAAATAAGAAAAGAAACGAAATAAAAAAAGTCAAGCAGGAAATATCCAAAAATAGAAGAAAAGGAATTATGGATAACATTGGTCTAATCATTGGGAAATCTTTAGCTGGGCTCAATAAGAACTTTTTGACACAAGAATCCAGTCCAACTCCGAAAGTTGATAAGAATCTGAAGACACTTGAAAACATGTTGAATCAACATATAAAGAAATTCAAAATTCCAAATGAATTCACCTCTAAAGATTCTTCTTCCAGCGTAAGTCACAATTTGAGCATTTTCTTTTGTTAACCCTTTGTTCTAGAAGTACCTTAACTCTGTTAAGAAGTCAAGAAATGAACTTGATGTTAAGAATAAAATAAAATAAAATTGATGAAACTAAACTAGATTCTCAACGAAGTGACAAATAAACTGAGGAAAACTCTTAAGAATTGGGGGATCTATAAAGCTCAAAGAGATCAAAGATCTCTTGAAAAGCGAGATACAAAAGCAGTTTTGAGTTATACTGCAAGGAAGCAGAATAAAATGTTTAAGCAAGAATCGAAATACAATTCTTCAACATACCTCCGTAATTATCCTAAAAAGAAGAAATTACAGGATGATTTTGACTCTGACACCACTCTGACTAAATCAGACACAGACAACACTACCAAAATTATAAAATCCTCAACCCAAAGGACCCTTTCTCACCTCCCTCGCATCCGCAAAAAGTACATAAAAGCACCCAAAATAGTCGATTTCTCCACTAACAAGGACGAAATGAACGCTAACCAGACCAACGAGCTCAACCAGCCCCACTTCACCCTCACCCCCACTATAAATCCCTCCAGTCTCTCCCCTACACGCTCCAACCAGTCCAAGCTCCGCTCTTACTACAACGCCCAATTATTCCATGACACCGCTAATTCCCACCAAGACCAGGCCCAAAGCTACAGCAAGACCAAGATCAAGAACATACGTAGAAAGTACAGACACTTATTAAGACTGTGAGAGGGTAATGGAGCTTCGTTGCAAGTGAGGAAGCCGACTTCTGGGGTTGTGGTTGGGGGTGGTAATGAGAGGCAGAAGAGAGGGTTTGAGAAGGAGATTAGTGGTGGAATTTGGAAGTGAGGGGATATTGGAAGTAAAATGTTGACTTTTGAAAAGAGAGATTATAGCGAAAATAGTGAATATGCACAACAAAAAAGAGGATGGATACAAGAAATTAACTCTTTAAAGGAAAGGCTTGCAAAAGAAGGAGTTCCATGTGACACAAAGATGCTAGAAAGAGCTATCTTTATTCCTGAAGACATTCAATAAATTCATTTAATTCAATACACCACAAACCAAAAGGGGTTTTGGGGTTTTGGGGTTTTGGGGTTTTGGGGTTTTGGGGTTTTGGGGTTTTGGGGTTTTGGGG